ACTGTAAATAAATAAATAAATAATTAAAAAAATTTCCATGCATATTCTGTTTTGTTGTAATCTTAAATTCAGATGTTCTAATATTTATAAAATTTGACAAAAATAGTAATTTATTATGTCGATGTTAGCGAGAGTTGTCCCAAAATGTATTTATTACCTTATGCCACACATTAACATGTTTGAATGTCATTGTATGACCAAAATATGAAAACAAGCAACATGTATCTTAAAGCACATTTTCAAGCAAACTTTTCCACTAAATTGTGAACAAGAAAATTAATTACTCTAATGCAATTTGATATTCCCAAATTTGAGTTACGAGGAGATATCATTTGAAAATAATGATTATACTGTTCTATAAATTATCAGTTCACTGTGATCCTATTCAACTCTTGTGCTGTGCTACAACTCTTTTACCCTATTTGGTATTTCTTGTCAAAAATGTACTTTGTTGTAAATCTCTCATTATGCTATATTATTCTTGGATTTAATTTTGGACTTGTTTTATTTGTTTTGTATTTCTTCTTGGAGCTGATTGATCATGAACCTCATTGATCTAAGCTTTTGCACCTCAGTTTTTGAGTGAAAAAAAAAACATTATTTGTGGATAATTTTAGCCATATTCACCAAGTGAGACAAATAGACACAAAATCAGTGCATGTTCCAGTTTATTTCATAATATTTACAGAATATATTTTGACACAATATGCATTCATTTTCACGTCTTTTTTCCTTTTTCCCCCTTTCTTTCTTTAAAGTACCTTGTTGGTATGACAAAATATCTCTACCCCATTAGTGTCCTCTTGGCTCTTCAATAGATTTGTCGAGTTCTCACATTATCCCAGTGGAAGTTAGTTGTGTATGGTCAAGGAGCCATATTCACAAATATTAAAGAATATCACAAAAAAACACACAACAAACTACAGGGCAAAAGAGAGATCATACACTTGGAGCATCCAGAAAAGCATTCGGTTTGCTAATTTGCCTTTGCGAAAAACAAAACAAAAACAAAAACACTGTCTTGAGGAGCAAGGTAACAACAATAGCTCTTTAAATAACTCCTGAGCGAATCTTTGTGAATAGTGGCTGAATTTTACTTTGCTTCTACTCTGCATGTTCATGGACAAGGGTGCAAGACAAGTTATATATATTTAGATATGGAAACTTGTGGGTGATTATGCAAAAACGAATTGTCTTTACACTTCAGCTGCATCTGTCCACATCTGCACACTATTCATTAAAAAATGTTTTTCCACGTGTTCCAGTTGCACCATATTTCTGTGTAATATTCTTAAGTGGTACTTGGTCATCATGTGAAAAGAAATGAAAAAACAAGCAGGCTGTGTCTTTGGTTATATTGATGGCATTTCAGTTTATCCGCACTTGTTTTTTAGTATTTCATGTAGGCTATTTTGAATGGTGACATCATAGACGATTTTTCCACGACATTCTAATTTATTGAGATGCACCTGTATTTACAACATCTGGAATGGCATTTTTCCAGAATATTAGCAATTGCCACATAAAATTAGATGGCCAATTGAATGAAACCTCCAACCAGTTATTTGATAGACAGCTTCTTATTTTGGACACACTACTTTCCTATTTTAGCTCCTCTGTATTTGGGTTAGTAGCAGATCCAGTGCCCTCATTTTCACAAAGTCTGCAGAATCAGGGAAAATACCTAGAAAGAAGACTTTAACATATAATATAAGGTACACCTGGAATAATAGGGAATAGTAATATGATTAAACACTTAGCTAATTAAACACTCAACTGGGTGCTGTGATCATTTAGATCACAGCAATACAAAACTTGAATTAGCAGTTCCAGTAGTTTTCTTTTAATCTTCAGCAATCCATTTGCTCTTATCCAAGCTTGAAAAATGCACATCTATATTATATAGCTGAATTTACAGGTTAATACATATAATTGGCTTTAAATACAGGTATACATTTACAGTACATTAAAAAAAGTTTGAACTGATAAAACAGATTGCGCTCTGTGGTGTGATCAGAAGAACAAATATATTTTGTTAAAGCAATTTTTCTTAAGTAATTACATCAAAAATGATCAAAACCATCCACTGTCTAAGTGTACTATGGAAATCAAGTCTTGAGAAACAACAGTAACTGGTGTTTTGTCAGTGGTTGGCTAAAACGGTGTGCACAGAGCTGCAATCATTATGTATATTATGAGAGGAAATTCTTTAAGAATATTTTAAGAAAAATTCGTCCCTTTTTGTACAGCCAAACGCCCCGGAAGACAAACAAAATAGATGTGATTGTGAATTTACAGATAATTACAAATAATCCAGGTGTGTTAAAAGGAAGTCCTGCCAAACTAAGATATGTTTAAGGGTAAGACCCTGGAGTATTAAAAATAAATTATATCTATAAGGTTTTACTTTTTAGCCTCAGTGTTAGTAATATTGATAAAGGTAAACTGGATATTAAGTGCTTATATAAAGTGCTGAAATTCAAATAATGCAACCATTGTCCATATGTCTAATATGACCACATTGAAGTGTAAATAATGCAAATAATCATGGGAACTGTAGTTAAAAGCTGAAATGAGAGCCTTCATATGCAGTATGCTCAGTCAGTTTGGTTTCGTGCGTGTAATTGCTGATAAACAGTGTTTAAAAAAGAAAGTTACAATTTTTCAAGAATTTTGTGTTGAAAAGCAGCAAGATATATAGATATATGAGCCAAATTGTGAGAATGGCCACAGGTGCATCGCCTACATTCTGTCTGAAGGCACCCAGCTAAAAATACCGGGATCAGAGAGTGAATGTAACTGTGGAACAACAGAAGGTCATGGCGTGGCTGTGGGTGTCAGATCTTGCTGTTCTCCAGGTGCGAGTCAATGTGCTTGATCAAGGCATCATCAGGGTAACCAACAGGGAAGATTAGCTGGCACAGCGGGCAGCTCCTGACGTCACCCTCCTCCTCCGTCTCCATCCACAGCTGTAAAGGACACAGTGATATGTTTGACAGCCGTAATGTTTAAAATCCACGTTTTAAAATCGAACAGATACCATAAAGGTGAAATGTGTATTTTATTGAATTTAAACTATCTTCTCCTTTTCCAGCTTGATTGGCATAGACAGCTATATGTAAGCCATTTGATTATGAATTTCTCTGACATCTGTAAACACTGTGTCTCCATGGTTCTTTCAAAATATTTCTGTGTTGGTTAGACCAGACACCGCAACGGTGGCTCAACCAATGGAGTGAGTTTGGGGGTGGGGTTATCTGTTTGTACAGCCAATAATAGACACCTCAGTTGTGCATTTGGAATCTCCCTTTCAAGTCAGTTCTCATTTATTTATTTAATTGGCCAAACTCTACAGGAAGTTGGTTTACAGGAAGTGGATTTTCAAAAAATTTGATGAGTAATGGTATTCTTGGAAATTAATTGTTATTCCATGCTGCTCTACAAATTTATTAAATACGAAAAAGTAATTAGGAAACAAAATCAGGTGACATTTCAAATTTGAAGACATTTAAACATTAAGACGTGGCTTTGTCAAGCCACCATTTAAAGTTTGATTTAGCAAACCTTTCTTTTTTTACTTAAAAATATTCTCAATTTAATTCTGAATGCTGCACAAGTTTGACGAATCCAGTCTGAAAAAAAATCTTTTGTAATTCTGTTGGGTGACACAAATGGTGTAGAAATTACACATTTCACCTTTGTTATATTCTCAAAATAGGTTTATTGGAAAAATGTGCCTCTACCTACATTTTTGCAAAACTCCAATAACATATCTATTTATACAAACACCAACAACTTTTACTCCTTTTCACACAGATTATGATTACAGGAGGAGATTATCAATTAATACTTTTTGTTCTATGCCAAATTGCGGTTCTATGCACAATACTATATTATGACCTAAAAATACTTTTACAATAACGCATGATTTGTAAACTGATATTTTGATGTTCGCATCACATAACCATCTCCATCTGGATGGCTTTTCTGATGTAGTAAACTTGCTCGGAAGCTCACCTGTTAAAACCATTGCACTTTCAATATGGCGTGCTTGGGGTACAAGTCAGATTTATGTTCATCTGTTTTGGATAAAACTGAACTTGCTTTTAGCGCCACTCACTATACATTTCACTTTGAAAGTGTCACAAAATGAGCCAGAAGCAACGTAACATAATTTTGCAGAAATGTCACCACAGGCACATTTTTTTTCCAATGAGCCTATGTAGGTTAGTCTGGCCACTGATTATGATTTGCTACTCACATTGATGGATGGCCAAGACTGGGCGTGCTCTGCATGCAGGTATCCAGGTGGGTGACAGCTTAGGGTGTTGGGACGGGAAGGAATGGGGAAAGCAGAACAAGAGGCGGGGCCTCTGGAGATTGATGAGGGGCTCGACACCCCCAGTGTTCGTGGAGGACTGATGGGATGAGGGCAGGACCATTCCTCCTCATCCTCTGAGGACTGTGGAGGCTGTGGAGATGGATGCAGAGGTGCTGGGCTGTGCTGAGGCTCAAAATGCAAGTGGGACACATCCGAGTGGTGGAAAGACAGCTCCCTGGTCAGCCGAGGAGATTCAGCCAATCCCCCATCACCTCCAACCCCGGACTGAGAGCTCTGTCTTTGAACTAACATGTGCTGGCTTCCTCCATGTTGCTGTTGTTGTTGCTGCTGCTGCTGCTGCTTGTGGTAGCTGTCGACATATGGTCGAGGTTTCGGCAAAGTGGACACCGGGTCCAGAGTGAACCGCGGGGGCCGTTGATAAGCCGACGGATCGGCTACTTCAGAGTAACTGCGTCTTCCCTGGAAACTGGCCCTCAAGTGGTGGGAAGTGGGCCTGCAGGAATAGGATGCGGGGCCGTTGCTGAGCTCAGGCAGAGGTGAGCGACGGTGCATGTCCGGAGAGAGACGCTGCAGAACAGGGGAGCGTCGCTGGGGAATAGGAGAATGACGCTGTTGAATGGGGGAATGCCGCTGTTGGATTGGGGAATGTCGCTGTGGAACAGGAGAATGCCTCTGGTGAGGGACAGGAGAGTGGCGCTGAACTAGAAAATAAACACAGGACATAAGAAAGTGAAAAACGTTCTGTAGAATGAATATAAGACACAAGACACGTTTAAACAAACACATTGATTAAATGCCTGAGATCAGTGTAAATCTTGGGTAACACTTTATTTCGATAGTCCACTTTAGACATTCTATTAACCGTAAGCAACTTTGCAACTACATGTCAACTAGCAGTTAGTAGAGTATTAGTAGACTGTCTGCTTAATATCTTCTAACACTTTCTTTGTCAACATTCTACTAACCCTAAACCTACCCTAACAGTCTACTCTGATAGTTAGTAGACATGTAGTTGCAAATCAATGAGAATTAGTTGACATGTAGTTGACATGTAGTTACAAAGTTACTTATAGTTAATAGAATGTGTAAAGTGGACTATCGAAATAAAGTGTAACCAAATCTTGCCAAAAAATTACTGATGAAATTTCTCTAAAGTCAGCCTCATATATTAGTCATATAAGTCATATATTTAATCAAAATATAACTACTGGTCAGATGACAGACTTCTCTCTGGTGATGTCTGCTGGACTTTTCCCTCATTTAGTCGCTTAAACTCTGCCTCTGCAATCTCACATTCATCTGCCTTCATTTTTGCCTCCTCCACATCTCAAAATCCAATCAGCAACCGATAAATAGAACCAAGTTCCCATCCTACTTTTTACTTTATAATTAATCTGTTAGACTTGGATGTATGTCACAACAAAAATCTGATGCTACATTTGTTTTATCACTATAAAGCCATGTTTTAACGAAGCCTGAATTTGTTCCCACAACTTTTTAATTCATTCCCTCATTTTATTTAAATCGTGGCCACAAATTAAGAACTTGCTCCCTCATTTTAGAAAACTGTGGCCATGTTGTATTAATTTGTTCCCTCATTTTAATTAAATCAAAACGGAAGAATGAATTAGTATAATGTGGCCATCATTTACAAAAATGAAGGAGAAAATTAATAAGTTGTGGGAACAAATTCTAATTTGTGGCCATAATAAATATATTTTCGGGGCTCCGTATATCACAAATGTAATGATGATTTATTTTCATCAGCAGTAACAAAGACAAGACGAAAAATGCATCATGACAATATTTAAATAGTTTCATGTAAAATACTGTTGCTTGAAATTATGCCATCACAAGAAATTAACATGCATTGACACACACCACACACACACACACACACACACACACACACACAACATATTACAACTTACATCTGCACAAAATCACACACAATTGAACTAAGACACACAACATATTACAACTTACATCTGCACAAAATCACACAAAATTGAACACATAGTTAAGTTAACACATATTAAGACACAGTGAATATGGTCTATGTAACAACAAACTAAAACATGGGCAATGACATAGTTTCTGTTAAATTTATATAGTTAAATTCATATATAAAATGTTTGAATATTTGATTTCATTAAAGGTAGCATGGTTCATTCGGAAGAATATTTTAAAGGGTGGTGTAAAGAGCACAGTCCCTAATGGACAGATAGACGTCTGTAATGACTTCCTCTTTCCCCTCACATTTCCTCTTTGAGATATTTTCATATTGTTTTCCTGTGCATTCACACCAGCAGGCTACTTCTAAACAACTTTCTGACTAGCAACAGGCACACAAGATCCTGTACAGAAGATGCATCTGTCTCTCAATTATAAGTCTAATGTGCATATACTCAGCTTCCTGCAATCGTGAGATTGCAATCAGCTATTTAGAGAAATCAGTCCTTCTATCTATGAATCAGTAAGTTTTTTTTCCCCTCCATCTCCGCTTCTGCTTTTTGGTCTGGTTTCCTATATCAAATGGGTTGTGCGGTTGAGAGCAGAGGTGGTAAAAAGATAAGGGGGAGTTGTTTATGTTCTCAAACTCTTAAGAGACATTCAACATGAGAGGCGATCAGAACATGTCAGCAAAAATATTCCTTGTGGAATTTAACCAGACAGCAAACAAGCATGCAGTGCTAAAAAAAGCGCCTGTTTACACACCCACTGTGCTGAATTTTGATGAGTTTGACAAATTGGTTTTATTACAAAAGAGGTTCATTAAAGTATGAAAATATGATTATTACCTAAACCAGGTCTTCATTACACTACATGGCAAAATGTATGAGCATCAGTAAGGTCAGGCGTTGGCAGTGGATGTTCCAATTCATCTCAAAGGACTTCATTGAGTGCCGTGGGTCCAACAGTTAAGGCATTAGAATATTAAGTAATACTAAAATATTTTTAGAAAAAGGGTTAGGGTTAGTATAGATATATTTTTTATAATACAAACATTTTATAAAATATTTCTCTGTAAAATATTGTACTGGTGGAATCCTGTGACAATGCCACATTAGAAAAGACACTGAGCTCTTTCTACTATACAAACCAATAATTAGAAGGTATATTCGTAGAATATACACATACTTTTGGACATACAGTATAGTGTATATTCATGACTGTTTAAAGTGTAATCACAGTTGTTTAAATATCTATGTCTCTGACTGAATGTGTATTATGGACCACATATGGAGATGCTTTACCGGGCCCTTGTCCTCATACCTGGGCTTGCCGGCTCCTGTGAGACTTTCCGCAATATCTCTGTCTGTTTCGAGGTCAGAGCCTGCAACTTGCCCAACTCCTCTGTTAGTTCAGTATAGGCCAAAGCCAGATTTACTCTGTAGAGAGAGCAGGAGAAAGAGAGAGAATGAGAAGGGAGTGACTGAGAAAGAGAGAGACAGTTAGAGTGAATTAACTAAACCGTTTTAGTCTCATAACCACCTGCAATCAAGTTTAACCAGGTGCTAAATGCATTGATATAGCATTAAAATAGCATTGCATCATGAGTACTTGAATAAATTCTCTGTCCTCACTGTTTTATTCTTTCTATATAAAATTTCTATTTAAAAATCTATGTTGGCACATAAATTCACAAAACTAGGTGTTATTACCGTCTGCTAATCAGCTAAGAAGGAACTGCACTTCATCTACACAGCAGTAACATTTTGTATGTTAACACATTACTGTATAACTGACAATGACTAATAAAGTATCATTCCTTAGTACTTAGATGTGTGACATATAAAAGCAATAATAAGGTGATACGCTTCACCACATAACAATGGTTGACAATTATGTTCATGACAGTTGGTAACACTATTTAACTGTGATATGTGTCACTCCACCAGTGAGAACATAACGCATGACTGGCACAGAGAAGAAAACAGTGTAGTTTCAAATCATCTGACTCTGCAGTAACTCACCATGGCAACTAAATTTCTAAAAAGCCTCAGTCATCACAAAAATTGGCAAGTGATTTCCTACATTGCTCTGCAAGTCTTTCGCAGCACTCTGCTGTCTCTTTCTTCACACGTAATAAAATAAATTTAACTAAATTTTCGAATGGGTCGAACAAAGGCCTCTGTAGCAAATCGATGCATTTTTGTAAGAAAAATATCCATATTCAAAAAGTAATAATCACTTTAATGTAGCTTGCGCTCACTG